GCGTCCATGCCTTCACCACCATAGTGACAAGACCATGGTCCAGAAGGGGATGCATCACCCCATCTTTGGACTTACTGCCCCCACACATTTAACTGGAAAATCACACAAGCTGTGTTCTATTTGCTCCATTTCTGAGAGGTTCTGATGAGAGGTTTCTCATAACATCAGGGAGGCTCTTGGTCTCCAGGGTCCTCACTATAGATTGAGCATCTTTAATAAGTGTTCGAAATTCTTAGGGTCAAAAGTTTTTGTGGAGTATTTGTAGAGATTTCTTTCTTTCTTTCCTTTTTTTTCTGAGACAGTGTTTCACTGTGTAAAAGCTTTGGCTGTCATGGAACTCACCTGTAGACCAGGCTGGCCTTGAACTCATAGAGATCCTCCTGTCTCTGCCTCCCTAGTGCTGGGATTAAAGGTGCACACTGCCACACCTGGTCAGTGGAGCATTCCTAGTGAGAAAGTATGAAACATTCTGAAATATGAAACTTCATGAGGGCCAACACCATCTCCCCAAAATTCAGGCACTAGAAGCATGTTAGATTTTCAGTAAGGGCTTTCTATTTTGGCCTAACCTTTGAAAGACAAGGCCACGAGACTTGGGAAGAACATCAGTGACTGTCCGTGTCTCCTTAGTGAGTGAGGGGTGAAGTTGAGGTATGAGACAAGCCTTCTCCTGGGGTGTCAACCACCCTTAGCAGCTGACCCGTCTCTGCCATAAGAAGGCTTTGCCCATATGCCCAAGGGCAAAGGGGGCAGGAGCTGCTCCTGAATCCTCGCTTCCAACAAGGAGAAATCATCCTATATTTTTAAAATAAAGATTTATTTCGCAATATTGCTCTGGTGTATAATTTCCAGTGGAGGGAAAGAACCCTTCATCTGAATCTATACCTCCCATCTCCCCGTGCCATCTTTTCCAAAACTGGAGTCTTGGCATCCAGTTCTACATTTTTATTTCGGTTTTGTCAACAACAACAACAACAACAACAGCAACAACAACAACAAATCACATAATTGTTTAGAAAATTCCCTGAATTTGTTTTTAGCCAGGGATTAACTTGCTTGTGAGGACAGTGTTCCACAGAGGGAAGTCAAGCCTGAACTAGTGACTGAGGGCTTGGACTCACCCTTTGGTTGTGTCTCAAGGACTTTCATAGAGATGAGTGGGCAGCCATCAGACTCAGGCCCTCTCCTCAGTACTGCCTTTGCCCAGTAGCCCCTTCTGGAGTTCCAGGCAGAGGGTGGTGGATTGTCCTTTGCTGCGCTAGGGGGAGCAGCCCATGTGCAGGTGGTATTGCGGGCTCACTTCCTGCCGTTCATTTTGTCTCTTTGAATCCCGTGTGGGTGGGTTGACCCTTTCCTTTTACTCCCTTGCATCAACTTAGACAATACATGTTTGTCTAATGGGGTGTGATACGTTGTTAAAACCTCGAAACTGAGGTGGCTCTCTTGTCTATTTTTAATGATGGAAACAGAAATATCCCTAAAACTTATGCTTCTGGAAGAACTATTTGTTCCTGCCCATCTTGTGTCTCAGAGTTGACCTTGGCCTCCTGTCTGGTCTTGCGTTTCAGAGCTGGTCTCTGAAGACATCCTTGTGGTGACAATTTTGTCCAAGGAGACAGTTGCATGGTTCTCCGGGGGAGGTATGAGGCGATGGTGGTCATACGTTTTCATGAAAACTTTCATCTTTGACCTTTGGTGGTTTCCTTCTTGCCCATGCACCTGTCAGTTTGGTGAGGTAGCAGTCAATTCCAGCAACCAGAGTGTTGCTGTAGGGAGAGTCTGAGGTGCCATCATTACTATTCTTCACCATGACAGTGCTGCATCTGGAGTAGTGTCCAGCCAGGACCAGCGCCGCTTTCCCACTTGGGCAGCAGCCAGCAGATGCCCAGCAGAATGGATGGAAGAGCACTCTTAGTTTTAAAATAACTAGCTAGAAAGGTGTTGATCTGGAAGGTTTCAGTCGTGGGGTGTTAGGTGCCAGAGGTGGACAGTCCCTTTTCCTCCCTTTACCAGGAACAGCCTTGGTACACACACTTCAGTCCAGAGTGTGGTCATACCTGTAGGAGGTGATGGGTGCATCATTTCTGGTCATGGCTGACCTGAGAGCATGATCTCCTCATTGTGAGGCCACAGAGCTCAGGGGGAGAGGAAGGGGAAGATACTGAAGAAGGCAGAGAGCTTTCCTTAGGGTGGGAACGTAAAACTGAGACTAGCTTTCATCTTGGCATCTCTGCACCTGAGCCTGGCTTATGAAAAAGGGTGTGCTTCTCCTACTTAAATTCAAGAACTAGGGGGCTAGGGGATTTGTTTTTATTCTACTGTGTTTGGAAGTATTCTCCTCATCAAGACAGAAAGCCTTATGGCGGTCCCTCCTGACCCCCAGGGCACTTCTGAAGATCTCCCCACCGTGTACTGAAAACCCTCCACACACATTCCTCTTGTCTCTGTTCCCTGAACCAGGGCTTTCCACTTGCCCCACTCATGGATGCCTTTTGCTCCTGGGTATACAGGTAGATAAAACAGGTGCACCAGTCAAGCACTTGCTAATAATATATCACAAGACATTTTGAAACAGTTCTTTGGCCTGTATGTCAAGATGAAACCAGTTTGTGTGCCAGCTAAGTGGAAGAGCTTATTTATGTTTGCGCAGAGAATTAAATCTTGACTGAATATTTGTTGCAGACAGTGAACTTTCAGTGCTTTTCAGAGTTGACCAAGATTTTGGTTTTTAATGGTCTGTGCTCAGAATGCTGCTTGCATAAATATATAGTACAAAATCTCAGAAGTATGTTTAGACCATTTCACAAATGGTTGGAAATTCTATTCTAATCTCAAGCCAAAATTGATCTTTTAATAAAATTCAGGTCAGCAACTCAGGTTTTATGAAACTCAAATAAACAATTTGTAAAATCAATCATTCTAATATAATATAATATGATCCAAAGATGTTCTAATTTGAAAAACTTACACGTTAAGGCGGAAAATATGAAAAGTCTTTGTTTCTCATAATTAAATGGTTTTGCTTTTACAAGAGCAGAAAAGTTTTTATGTGTGGTGAAAACATTACAATTCATTGTACTTAACAGTCTCAAGTCTGAGCCAAGGTGCTTCAGGCCATGCTGGCTGACTGTGTGGCTAACAGAATGAGCAGTACAGAGCATGCGTGATATGTTGTTCAGCGCAAGGCTGCAGTGAAGCCCCATGACGCAACGTGGGCGAGCGCTGCCAGAAGTGCCTCAGATTTAATTTGAATTTGAGTTTCAATTAGTCTTGGTTGTTGCACATTTGGAGACCTCCTCTGGTTGCCAATTCTTTTTGTGACCCCCATGTTCAGTTGCACAATCCCAATGGGACCACACCCCATAGCTTAAGAATCTGCGTCTCTGAAGATGCTGTGAAACTGCTTACACTGCATTTACTCTGTATCAGGTATCATTAGCTAGCCGAAGATAGTTTAAAGTCTGAGGGAGGGTATGGCAGGTTCTAGGCAAGCACATTGTTTTTATGTGAAGGGACTTGAATAATCACAGATTTGGTGAAGCGTCTTGAAGCCAATCCTTTCCAAATTCTCCCAGGGATTTGTCTGTCTGTCTGTTTGTTTTTAAGACAGGGTTTCTCTGTGTAGCCGTGGCTGTCTTGGAGCTTACTCTGTAGACCAGGCTGAACTTGAACTCAGAGATCCACTTGCCTCTGCCTACAGAGTCTAGGATTAAAGGCACACTCCCCCTGCCTGGCTCTCCTAGGGATTTTAGAAACAGCTGTTCTGTAAATTTTGAGCTCATAATGTTAAAGGGTAGAGGCTTCGATAATGCATTCTCGGGAATGTACTGCACACTGAAGCTGGAGGGGGACGCGAGGCCGTAGAGAGTAATCCGTGCAACAGGGTGCCCACGGTGTCACTTACTGTTAACACTGCAGGCATCGTTGGCTATGGTGAGTACTTTATAAAAGTGTATTGACAGCGAGGTGGCTCTTAGAGTCTCCACTCGGGCAGTTCCCTACCAGAGAGGTTACTACCCAAATCCTGTGGCGAAAATGAGAATGGCTCACTGGGCCGGTTGTCCTTTGAACATATGACTGCCGTGGAAGGGACCCACAAGAGCGTCGGCCGGATGTTGTCAGCAGATTGGATGTTTTCATGTTCCTCCACGTGCTGCCTTCTTCTTGACTTTGTCCTTGATGTTTCTCCATTGAATTGTGAAAAATTAGTGTGAATATTGTCTAAAAAAAAATTTCAGCATTATGATTTTTCTCCCAATCTCCAAAATGTTTAGACTCTTTTGCGGTTTCGCCATCTTGAATAAGAAATTCAAATGTCATTAACCTGACAGAGTTAAAACAGTTTTTGAAAAATGCATTGAAGTAGTTAAAATGAATTTTTTGTTTCTGGTGGTGGTGAAGTATATAAATTTTATTTGATAGTAGAAGTATAAAATCCAGTGTGAGACCACGTAGCTTCCATACTGACAGTAAATCTAACCGTATAGAAGTTCACGGAATCATGTAGTTTTTCAATTGTCAGTTTCCATGTGTGATTTTTTTCTTTCAATTTTTTAAATAATAAAGTTTAAAAGAAAAAATGATTTTCTTATAAGGCTTACATGGCTCAAGCATCTTTGGTTTGGAAGTCTGAACTCTGAAATATCCCCACATGTAAACATTTCTTTTCAGCACTAACAAGACGTCCCAAGTGGAAAATTCCATATTGTGAGAATTTTAGTGAAAACATATGATGTAAAGTTACCTTTGGGATGTGCATAGATGGTATATTTGCAACATAAGTGAATTTAGCGTTTAGATATGGGTCCCCTAGCCTACACATCTCATTTTGCATATGCAGATATTTCAAAATCCAAAAGAAAGGAAGCTTAAAAGTATTCTGGTGTAAAGTTTCTAGGATCAACGGGGTTGAACCTGTGTATAACAGTGGGGACTATTGCTTTCTGACAAGGCAGTTACATTTTACAATGTATTTATCTCCTTTCCTCTTTCCTTGACAGGAAAAACTAACACAAGAGTGTGTGTTCCGAGAACAGTTTGAAGAGAATTGGTACAACACCTATTCTTCCAACCTGTACAAGCACGTGGACACCGGAAGGAGATACTATGTTGCATTAAATAAGGATGGGACTCCAAGAGAAGGGACCAGGACTAAACGGCACCAGAAATTTACACATTTTTTACCTAGACCAGTGGACCCTGACAAAGTACCTGAACTATATAAGGATATTCTAAGCCAAAGTTGACAAAGACAGTGTCTTCACTTGAGCCCTTAAAACATAACCACTATCAATGCTTTCCTGCGGTGGGTTCTTATTGATTAGCAGGGCCGTCACCTCAGCTCCACTGTTGCCAAACTTTGTCGCATGCATATGTATGATGGAAGCTTGGATGGGGACTTGCTGATTTGCTCTGCACTTATGGGCTGGTCCTCCTGGAGGGCTGCCTGGGGCCACTTGCTTGATTTATTGTGAAAGCAGGGGAGAGGCTGCGTGAGAGGGTGTGAGTACCTGAGCGGGGGAGGCGAGGGGGACAGCAGCGCGCCAAGAGGACAGCGGCCTGATGCATGCTGGGAAATAGACATGCTTTTACATTTTTGATCAGTTGAACTTCATCCTATATCAGCACAGCTGCCATACTTCAACTCATCAGGATTTTTGGCTGGTGGCCTGCTCAAGGGAGCACGTCTTTCCACAGGCGTGGAGGGCGCAGTCTCACTGAAAAGACTGTCAGTTCATTCTCACTGATATCATACAGTGAACTCAAAGCAAAGACCTCTTAGTTTAAAAGAAAAAAAAAAGAAAGAAGAAAAGAAAAAAAGAAAAAAAAGAAAAAAAGAAAAAAGGTTAAATTTATTTATAGAGATTCCAAAGGCAACATTTTATTTATTTTATATATTTATTTATTATATAGAGTTTATTTTTAATGAAATATGTACAGGCCAGATAGGCATTTTGGAAGCTTTAGGCTCTGTAGGTGTTAAATGGCAAAGTCGGCTATGAACCTGTGGTAACTTCATGCAAGTAGGTATCCAAGAAATTCTAATGGCCCTAATGTACTAAAGGCGACAATCTATTTTGTGCCCATATTATTGTAAACTTCTGCACATCGCTCACGACACTGAGTATTCACTCTTCAGATCGCTTGTTTCATAGCTTACTCCAGAGGATTAAAGATAAACTGGGTCTCAACCCTTCATTCCGTGTCTGTAATTTTCCTCTCTCGTAACTCACTGTAACTGGGGCTTGGAGCGTACGAAGGCTGGCGTATGCCTTACTTGTTTCAATCTATTGCAGAGGGTACCAAAGCTAAGCAATAACTATGCCTTTTAATTTCAGACCACGTCCACGACAACAAGACTAACATCAAACATGGCACTGATTTAAAATTACCAAGGGAGTAGAAAAACATTTACGTAGTACAGATTTTTTTTTCTTCTTCCTCCTCCTCCTCCTCTTCCTCTCTCTCTCTTTTGAGGCAAAAGTCAGATGAACAGGATCATTCTTGTAAACTTTTTATTTGTGTCTTGGCTATCAAATATGGAATTATACAAGGACCTTAGGGCCCATTACAACATCTTTTATGGAGATTGCATATGGTATGAACTGTCATAATTACACAGGGCTAGTACCCTTCAAGTAAAACTTGCAACATGAAACCAATAAATCTTTATCAGTAATGACATTAGAGGGGTACTGTACTCATTGCCTGTGCTTTCTTTTCTGAATCGGTCTTCAAGAGTGCTCAGAGAGGAGGTTGCTGTGTAGAACACTGTTTACAAAACCTTTTCTTACATTCTATACTGAAAAGCTTGAGAATGCAGCTTTATTTGAGAGTGAACATTCTAGAACTCACTGTTGGGCAAGGGAGACCATTTCTCACTCTGTACGAAGGTGAAATGAGCCAAATTCTTAAAGCGATATTTAAGAAAAAGAAACCTATAACACACTTTCACTTTCCAGCCAGCTGACATTGGGAAATTGAAAGTGACAGTTCAAAAATGTGTTCGAATTTCTGCAGCTAATTTTAAGATGCGATATCCTGGCTTTGTTTTGCTTGGATGCACATTCTCGATGGGACGTGAAAGCATGTCACTGGCAAGCCGGAGCTGTTGTGAACTCCTGACTTCCTGTCGTGAGCAAATCCATGTAGCCCTCTGTGGTCCAAGCAGGAACACGTGGTGACGGACCCTGCTGGCAAGCATCAGGGAAGAGCTGAAGGTCTTTGGAACTAAAAGGCATCTCAGAGAGAGGACCCTGAAGCTCTGTGAGGTAGCTGATAGGATAAAGAGCAGAAGGTCCTCCTTACGCACACTCTCTGGATCCCCCTTTCAGTTTCTAAACAGGTGCTGTATTGAGTTTTGAGCAGTGTTCTTCTTTGTTATTTAATTCTTTGCTGCTAAGATGTATACATATTCAGACTTCCATTTTCCAAAAGCATTTATTTTATTTTTGCTGAAAAGGATTCAGTGTTTTGACCACAGGAAAGAACGAGGTTCACAGGAAGTCATGGCTGTAATATCTGAAGAGATTTTAAAAGAGAGCCATTAATAGCCACACCCTAGTAGGCGTTCCAGAAAATCAGCTCAGAAGAAAAATAAATAATTGTGCAAAAACTGAAAATTTATATGCATTCCCAGCAAACGCTACTCTAATGTCTATTTTTGAACTTTGTTTTGGTACTTTTTTTTTTTAAAAGCAAACTATTGTGTGCTTTTGGTAACCAGTACAATAAACTGTAATGGTCTGTAAATAAATAAATATTGATGTATGCAATTTATGTCAATAGGCACTGTGGGAGAGAAGATGGCTCAGGGTTTCTATGTGAGTACCATCCTGGGAAGTAGACAAATCATTCCCAGTGTTGGGTTCGCCTCCTGTTTGGTTCCTGCTATAGGAGCTGCAAAGCCTGTTGGATGGCAGCCCCAAGCCACCGTGGGCTGGGTGATTCCAGCCCACAAACAGATGCTCAGATAGCCAAACGATTCTCTTGTTGGTGCCAACACTGGCATCATGGTCAAAGACTTAGCCAGGGTGGACTGAACCACCTTCCCATCTGTCATGCAAATGTCCCAATGCAGTATTGAAGGACATGCCAGGTCAGCACTGGGGAACCTGCCCTGCCAGGTCCTGCTTTGTGGATAAAATATGGCTTCAGTTGGTGGCATTTTTCACTATTTCATCTCATTAACACGACGATATTGTGTTATTTACGCGATAATCTGTAATTGTATGTAAGCACATGCAGGATTGTGTACTCTGTGTAAATACATCATTTCAGACTTTGGAAAACTGGTAGTTTTTACTTGATGTCCATTTGGGAGGTGCCTCAGATTCTTTGCCTGTGTGAGCCAGAGAAAGTTTAACAGTCTCTCTGCCTTTACAGCTTGCTTATGCGGTGAAAATGAATTGAAGGGTTGGGGGAGTGTGGAGAGCGGGGAGGAAAAAAAAAAACACATTCAATTCCTCCCATCCCCACCCTGTGAGCAATTGATGAAACAGCCAGGAATCTTCCTGGGTGAATATGAACTCGGAGTGAGTATAGGCAGCGTGCCTGCACGTTTTTTTTTTTTTGTTTTGTTTTGTTTTGGACAGATAAGTGGACAATGGTGATTGGGTGATTGTTCGAGGTTAGATTCTGTTCACTGCATCACTTGACCTTGAAATGTGCCAGATTTAGATTTGCACTGCCTGTGGTCACGTGCGCAGAAGAGCAATGAAGTGGGGGAGGTGGGTGGGTGGGCAAAATGCCAGCTGAGTTCAAAGGATGTGTGAGCCACCAAAGGCCCCGCCTTTGGTGTGTGTGTGTGTGCCTGTGCGCTCTGCATACCTGCGGGGACTGATAATTTATACCTGAAAGTAGAGTGGGGAAGAATCGTAACAACACAGTCTCTGCCTTCTCCAGGAGACAACCCAAAATCCAGGGATTCAGGCTTGTAGAGTGGACCCCGATCACAGAAAGTTAGGCTGAAAACGTATGAACAGACTCTCAAAACTGATTTTTACATCCCCCCACTTAAAACAACAAACCTTCTAGCATACTTCTGTCTTGCCCTTAGATCTTTAGAAAGATATTTGACAATGCGACCTAATCTTCACGAGGAAAGAAGCTACAGAAACAACAACAACAGCAGCAGAAAATTAGATCCCGCTATATTTTCCTTTGGGAAGAGAGTGGCGGTAACCATCCTAACAAGGTCCACGGTCATGGCTGTCAGGTCATGAGACGGCTGGACCGCCCTTGGGTCAGACATGTGGTGGTGAGCCTTCTTGGCTATTTTGGTTAATAGTTAGGGCATTCTAAGAATTCCCGTTGTTCTCCAGCTGTATCTCAGCTTGCATTGCAAAAAAAAAAAAATGTTACAATTCAAATTAGGAATACTTACTGAATATCTGAAAAGCCAGTGGCAAATCGTGGTTGGAGTTGGCCTCTGTCCTGTGTACTCCCCTGAAATCTTTAAATTATGTTTGTGGTTATGGTTGGTTTCCCTTGCAATGTGTGGACTTCGGCAGGAAAACCAGCCGGCAGGAGCTGAGGAGTTAAAACAATAGATTGTATAATGAGAGCATCTAGAACTCAAGGGCTGCTTTTCCCTCCTCACACAGGGAAGGACAGCTTTATTGATAATGCTCATGGCTTACATTGGAGGGACCTATTTTTTTTTTTTTTTGAGCATTTATGCAGGCTCTTTCCTAACCATTTTTCTGGGATGTTGCAAAAACATTCTGTAGGCTCCACCTGGCCATTGCCTCTGGCGTCTAGCCCCGACATACGGCAGCTTTGTGTGATTTCTTCTGCTTACCACTAGGGGCTTTTCCTTGTCTGTGAGGCTGCTGTCCTGCTCTTTCAGAGGCAAGCAATACTCCAAATGTTCCTGTGCTCTCCAGCTGAGAAACTCTGTCTCCCTCCAATTTTCTTCCCTTCCGCTCTTCTCCCTCACTCTCATCTTGCCGTTCTGCGAAGTGGCACCGGGGATAAGACGCAGTCACTGATGGCGACCGCAGAGACTAAGAAAAGACCACGGCACGGCGTTTGTTCTGAATCCTGGGATAAGGGAGGTTCAGGACAGTGAACAGTGAAGTGCACATGATCCAGACCTAGAGGCCTCCTGGATAGTAAGGTCAAAGGTAAAATGTGAGGCCTGAGCAGGAGTTACAGAAGAGGTCGCTGCATGTTCTCTTGTGTCTTATGTTGCAAAGGTACCTTGTCTGTTGGGAACAGGGGCTGGTCGCACTGCTTCCTGATACACAGTGGCTGAGTTGGGGACTCTCACAGGGTTTCATCAGTCTTGAGGAGGACTGGATTCCTGGAGACGAAGAGGCCCCAGTGTTGGCCTCTGACCATCCCCACCTCCAGGACTTAGCTATATCTCTCATTCTTGGTGTTAATTTGTTACTTATGGATTCTATCCAAAGGTAGTCCCTTCAACTATACTGATCAATACTCACTTAAAATTTCTTCTCACGTTGACTTACTATCACAGGAAGAATTGCAATACAAAAAAGACTTAAAACAAGAGAGGTGAAGATATAGCACCGTCTTTCAGATATTCGGTCCATTCTTTAAATACACATTGGGTAATAGCTGCATGATATAGTGTGGTACAGGGGATGGAAGACAAGAACAGGCTGGGTCTTGTGCCTGGATTTTACCTGCCACTGCAGTGCCCTCGAGGCTGAAGCAAGAGGATTTCTGTCAGCTAGAGGCCAGCCTGGGCTAATGAGTTCCAGGATAGTCTTGACTATATCACGAGACTGCCTCAAAACTCTCAAAATAAAAACCAAATCCATGAAATAACTATTAGAAAAACCCAGACAATAAGCAGACAAAAAGCCTCAAACCTCAAGGGCCGGTGAGGTGGCTCAGTGGGTAAAGTCACTTGCCAGAGGTGGCTCAGTGGGTAAAGTCACTTGCCGCAAAGCCTGAAACCCTGAGTTTGGTCCCTGGGACTGAAATGATGGAAGGAGAGAACCAGCTTCCTCCTGTTGTCATCTGACCTCCACAATTATATGGTGGCATGTTCATGACCACACACATACATATACATACACACAAACTAATGTAATTAAAAAAAAACAAAACACCCAAGGGCTGGAGAATTGGCTCGGTGATTCAGAGTCCTTGCTTTTTTCCCAGAGGACCCAGGTTATGTTCCCAGTACCTTTCCTGGGTGGTTCACAGCTATCTGTAACTCTAGC